CTGCGCCGCGACTACCGCTTCCAGCGCGTCTGGTTCTGGGGCCGCATCCAGGGCCTCCGCGGCGCCTATTACATCGCGGAGGGGCTGGGCGCCGACCTCGCCGCGCCCCGCAGCCGCCTCTACAGGTGCGCGGGGCACCGCGGGGGGCGGGGGGTCCCACAGGGCTGCCCCACGCCTCACCAGCCCTGCCCTGCTTGTTGCCGACAGCTTGAACTGCGTCGAGTGGAACCTCCTGCCGCCCGCGAGCGGGGAAATGGTGGCGCGGGCCGAGGCGCTCACGGGCCGCTTCCAGGGGGACCCCTCCTTTGAGTATGAGCTCACTGAGGCCAAGGTGGAAGATGAGGAAAAGTCACCCGAGGACAGGCAGGAGGTAAACGTGACGCAGTTTCCTGAAGTCTCCTCGTTGCTTGGTGCTGAGCGCATCGGGACTGCTGCGCATCTGCTGTAACACGCAGCTGATGGGTCACAGAAGCAGCCCCATTCCCACCCATTTGTTCACTGGCATTTCATCTGGCCAGTTCCAGGCAAAATCTCCCACTCACAAGTGGCTCTTCCTTCGGAACTGGGGCACAGCTGCCTTGGTACCACCAACTGTTGCCCTAAAAGTTAGGAAAAAACTGGGTCAGCGTGAACCTAGCGCGTCTCGCGTCTATTAAGATGGGACGTTCCTGTGGCTTGTTCTCCAGTCTTTAGAGCATTAGCTGCAGGTCACGCTCCTTCTAAGAGACCTCCCCTCCCGAGCGCCCCTGTTCACAGAGCTTCCCGTCCTCCTCCGCGGGTAGCTGCCGCCTCCTGATTTAGCTTGAACTTGAGGCAGTCCTGGAGTTAAACACAGCTCAGGAATGTTCCTAGTCTTTCTCCTATATGCGCAACTGGCACAGACTCACACTGCAGTGTCTGAGGCTTTATGCAGGAACCGCAGATACCTTTTTCTTATAACTGAACAGAGAGGTTACAAGTAGGTTATCTGAGAAGGAGAAAGGATGGATTAAGGGAGGGACAGTCAGTCTCACTCATAGTGAGTCTAGAATGTCTTTTTCTAGACACGTTTTTTGTCTTATGAGAAGAGTGATTTATGATCGTCCTCCAAACACGTTTTTTGTCTTATGAGAAGAGTGTTTGATTTATGATTGTCCTCCAAGATGATGAGTCTGTTGTGGTTTCTATTGTCACCTTGAGTTTATTTTCAGTATAGAAAACAAGGAAAGCCCTGCCTTTAATATGTACCTATTTTTCTTTAAAGCTCGTGATCAAGGAAGAGATCCGCCTTGTAGCTACCATAGAACAGATAGATAAAGCAGTTGGTATCATCCCCCGGGGTTCGTTTGTGAAGACTCCCCTGGGGCCTGTGCATGAAAACAGAAACTTTGAAGGTAAATTCTCATTATCAGCTTCATCAGTACTTTGATCGTAAAGTCTGCAAACAGAGATGATTCTCTCTAGCTGATGATTTGATTTCAATGACTCTCTAGCTGATGATTTGATTTCAATTTTCTTTTTCTTCTCCCTGAGTTAGATAGAGAATCCAGTGCCACTAGTGCAGCTTTTGTTCATGCTGTAGAGCTGTGACTATAGTCAGGTTCAGGTGCGTGATTCAACCTTGGAAGGTGGGAGGAGAGACACTAATGGCTTTGAGTCATTTAGCCCATAGTCTCTTGTGCCTGTGTACAGTTTGTGCCAGTGTTTAGCACTGGCACAATTGTAACTGCAGTGGGAAGACCATTCTCCATCTCCATGCAGGATGTAACCAAGTGGGCACAGAGAGCTGGTCTTGACTGATGACCCTGGCTTACCTGGCACTGCAGAGCACAGTATCAGTGTGCACTGTCGCCCATTTCTGGCAAGTCTTTGGGCTTCCATGGGGTCTGCTGGAGAAAGACTGTGATTTTGTCCTGAACTGTGTGCTTTAGAGGAAATACTGTGTCAGGTATTATGTGATACAATGTCTGTTAGCCCAGCTCACTAATAATCACCAATGACTGTTTGCAGGTCTTTCTTTGACGGAGGCAAAAAAGTTAAGTTCCTATTTTCATTTGGCTGAGCCTGTTAACCTGAAGAATAAAACACTCCTGGAAAAGGCTGACCTAGACCCATCTACGGACTTTCTGGACTCTCTGGAGCATGATATTCCAAAAGGTAAAGAGAGCAATGTCAGGAGATGGAATGAAAGGGAATCTGGAAAGCACTGAGTAGTCAGTGTGTGGGTTCCTCTGGAGCTCGTGTGCATGGGAGAAGCTCCTGTACAGGAACCTTTTTCTTTACTGGAAACTTGTACTTGATTTCTAAGTGCACCAGGGTTGTCATATCCTTACAACAGGTTATTTTCTGACCACAACCCCAGTTCCCCTCTCTGGCAGAGTGCCACGTTTCTCCCTGACTGCAGTGAACTCTGTGACAGCTGGTGCCCCGATGGGGGGAGATAAGTCCACCAGTGGTTGAGGGAATTTATGTGGTTTAAAGTATTTCACACCTCCCATCCCCCCAGTATTGCTCTCTTTTATCTAAATGGGCTCTCATTAACACTAAACTGGTATCTCTGAGAGGCTGCATTCAAGCTTTCCTCTGATAAACTGTGTCAGAAATGCTGTAATGGAATAATCTGTACTCCAGCAGCATTACACAGTGTGGAAGGAGAATGGAGGACACAGTGTGTCTTCAGTCCGCGTTCTTCCTGGTAACAAGACAACTGTTATATCCATTTTTTTAAGCCTCTAAGGGACAACTCTGACAGGATGTTGCTTTAAGGAGATGTTAGCAGATAGGATTTATGTGGCTATTTTGCTTCTGGAGCTCGGAGAGGATTCTAGTTTCTCATTCAGAGCGAGAGGAAGTCTTTATATATCTTACCAGTCTGTGGTATCGTTCCTTGCTACTGCAATATCTGTATATGGAACGTGCATAATTTTACAGAAAAGCATTATGCTTATGAAGTATGAATGATTTGCTATTTGTTTCTAACTATGTTTTGCTGATTTGCTGTGTTTTTCTGGTCAGAGCAAAGGAGTTCCACATCCTGCTGTCTGGAAAGACTTTGCAACACAGTCAGAACACAGTTGGGTTTGTTGTTTTATTCCTGTCCTTCAGTAGCTCTCAGTGACGATAGAATTTGCTGGAAGGAATGAGAACTGTCAATCCTGTAAATGGCTTTCCAGACTTTGTCCATATATATATATATATAAAAATACACAAACACACACATATATATAAATACCCATTTGCCCAAACTTTCCTTTGCCAAAGAGAACTGTGAAAGAATCTAGTGAACCCAGGCCTGAATTCTGCATTTTTTGACTGTTCTGAGTGAAAACAATGATAAAATGGAAACTATTATTCAAGTTGTTGGGAGTGCCCTTGCTGTAGTCATTTTCCAGAGGTGTGGTCTGGAGAGACTGCACATTTTTACATACAGTGGCTCACTGAGTTAGCCCTTTTGACTCAAAGAGGAGTATTGCAAGTGGGCTCCTGCATACCTCCTACATGTTTTTTTTTTTTTTGTTGTGGCTTCAGATGGCAATTCAGGCTTTGTCACTTTTTTTTTTGCCACTGCAGAAGAAGATGAACCTGTAGTGTTTCTAGAAGTAAACAGGCACCAGGGGCTGAGAGACTGGAAGCTGATTTACATCACAGAGCTGTTTTTAGCTGCCCTTAGTTGTGACTTGCAATAGTGTAATGGCAGCTTCAAAAGACTGCAGATCTCATACTGCAATTTTCCATGTGGTTCAAAGGACTAGGCAACTTGTAGCTCATGCAAGGAATTGGACATGACTGAAAGGCTCCCACAAAGTCATGCAGCTATGTTTTACTTAGTGGCATATAGAAAAAAATGCTGCAATCTGAGTAGCAATCTGAGGTCAGTGGAAGTGGGAACCTTGGCCCCTCTTCAGGGGAGGCAGTTGCTCTTAGTGCAGATCATGGTCTCTTCAACAAGTTACTTCTCAAAGACTACCCAAGATCAAGATTGATCCATGCACAGCTCTGGCTCCATCGCCCTGCTCTTTTTTGGACTGAAAGTGGGGATTGATGGGATGAACTTGTCAGGCTAAGGAAGCAAGTCAGGAACTGATTGCAAGGTCAACAAGACATGTAGCCTCTCTAATTGCTTTCTATCACGTGCAGATAGGAGATGTGATGTTAAGAAAGAACAACCCAGCTGTTTAGTGAGCGCTGAGGTTGCCTAAAATATTGGTTGCTTGTGAAAATGGAAAAAAGAACAGGGGCCAGACACAGGCTTTGTGCTGATTTTTATCAGCCCAACTCTGCCAGGGCTACTCATTCCTGATTGCAAGGAATTCAGACTTTGGTTCTTGGATCTCCTTCCTTCACCTCTGCTGCTGCAGGTTAGCCCTGACCCACAGCAACAATGCTCTGCCTTTGCTTGCACATTGTACATAGCTCAAGCAAATCCCTCATTTTGGCCTGAAGCATTTCCTGCCTTTCTGGCTAAAGCTTTCCTTGAGCAGTTATTGTCAGAGCTGAAGCAGGAATTTCCAAAAGCATCACTGCATCCAGAACTGTGATTGTATCCGGAGCTGAACCTACCCTTGGCAAATACACAAAGAGTGAACCACTGGGTAACCATGATGCTCTCCAGCCTTTGCTGGCCCTTAGAATTGCCTGAGTATCTTAGAAAACCTAAAGAACAAGACTGAGAAATTAAAGGCTGATTTTCCCTGATTAAAATTAACAACTCTATTGGAGTAGTTTTCTTATTAATTGGAGACTGAGCATTTGTGATGACTGTCAAAGAGGTAACTGTCATAAAATGTATGGTGTGTCATTGTATGAGAGCAGAGGTGTCTTATAGAATGGAAAGTTGGAGGCAGAGAGAAGATTTTATATGACAGCTCAGAGGTGGGAAGAAAGGAAGTTAAAACTGTGTTGAATAAATGATACAATGGTAAAAGCAAGGAGTTTTGTACAAGATTGGAAGGAGAGGGGTTTTATAATAAAACTGTCTGCCACCCTTATCTTTACAGGTGATATCTATGGTGATTGCACGTTCCACATTCTGTCTCTGTGTCTATCTATCTGGTTATCTCTGTGTTTTAAGAGTTCAGAATATGTTGCTACTTTTCCTCTCTTTTTTCTTAGCATCTCAGCTCCCAGAGGCAAGTGATTAGGTAAGAATCTTAGCTTTTATTTAAAAAAAAATATTCCAAATTGCAGAGGAAAGTGGGAGAATTAAAATCTTCTGCTCTCTGAGGCAAACTCACAAATCGGAGCGGCCTGAGTCATGATTTTTGAACAAGGAGGGCTTGAGATACTGATCTTCTGTCACCACTGTACTGCTTCATCCTGATCCAAATGGCCAGCTGGCCACAACACTGCGCGCTGGGATCTGTAGGTTTTGCTGGCCATATGTCTGCATTGCAGATAAGCCTGTTTGCTCTAGTCTGAGCAGACAATCTGCTCAACTTTATGCACAATTAGATGTAGCCTTTGAGCTGGCAGATTGCCAGCACAGGCCTTTCTGTCACATGGAGTTTGTCACTCTGGCCAACAGCATTTTAGGGACTAGAGTTGTGACTGTTTTTCATGTGCTTGTAAATAACAGGATGAAATTTGGCAAAGCAAATAGCAATATTTGTTAGCATGCCTGTGCATTTTCACTTACCTAATGTGTAGATATGGAATAGTAGACATTTAACAGGCAGGGACATGATAGGGAAAGCTAGAGAAAATGGAGGGGGATGGAGGACTTTACTGTAACCCAGAATCAGATCAGGCAGTGCTTCATCCGGAAAATAGGAAGGAAGGATTGGAGAAAGCAGGAGAAAGCATCAGGTACTAGTGCAGAGTGGAAGGCTTCGGAGGAAATAAAATAAGGGGTGGAGAATTCAGTTTCTTGTTGCTTTCAAACTACAATTTAGAAAGACATTAAGCTGACTCGGAAGGTTTGTTGCAGATTACTGGATCAGAAAGATCACTTTGATATGGAGATAAGGGACTCCCAACAGGGCACTGTTAAAAAGCAGTGTGGGAGATATGTCAGAGGCAAAGGGAAAGAAAACTCTTGGTAGGAAAAGATGTCAAGGGAAATAGAATTTCTATTTCTGTTCTATTCTATGAAGATTTCATTCAAATGTCATGACTCCCAATCAGGAAATAGCTGTTTTTAGTTGAAATCTATTACAGTTCATTGGTGGATTGAGAGCAGGAATTAGAATTAAAAGAAAACAATGTAAGAAAAGATGCAGAAAACTGGGAACAATTAGTGATTGATACATATTAGAGCTTATAATGCCTAGAAAATGACAAAGGGAGCCAGGATAACTGGGAGAAATCCATGGCTGGCTAGATTGGCAACTGTAAGGATTTTTTTTTTCAAGTATATCAAAAGGAAAAGCAATGGTACTGGAAACTATTACTAAATGGTGATAGCAAAATGGCTGAAAAGAATGCGGAAGGGCAGAAATGCTGTTTCTGGTTTGTACTTCTGGTTTATATTTGGAAAGACACAGGAATATAGACTCACATCATATGTAGACAATAAATCCATTTCAGTTGGTTTTCAGACTGTTTATTAAGGGGGAGTAGAGTTAGGCAACTTTTACTGAGGATCAAAAAATAAAGGGGCAGGGCCAGATAACTGACTCCTGAAATCATTACTTTGGGAGACTTGTGGCATACTTGTGATGCTAACTTTTAATACATTCCAACATTTAAGGAATATTCCTACAAACTGATCTTGATTAGTAGCTGTAAGTCAGAAATAACTGAATGGGTGTTTCTGGAGGGATTCAGAAGGGCTTTTAGCAGGGATCAGTGTTGTAATGATATTTTTCAATGTGTTTCTAAGTGGTCTAAAAGCAAAGGATTGGTGGAAAGACAAATAGAGACAAGGAGAGGGCGGCAAGAGAGTTCCAGTAAGCTGGACTTAGAGGAAATGCGCTTTGATGGAGCTAACTGCAAAGTCTGTATCTAAGGGCAGGGAGTACAAGCAGACTTTGAGAACTGCATTCTGGAAGCTGTGGCTTTGAAAGGAAATCCAGGCACGCCCCACTCCCCATGAGCTCCCAGTCTGATGCTGAGACTTAAAAGGCTAATGTGATCCCTGGATGTATAAACAAGGGCGCAGCGAACAGGAATAGGGAGGTGACTTTACTTTTGCATATACTACTGGTGGGATCAGGACT